AAAAAAAAAAAAAGAATTGACTGTTAAAAAAACAAACAAACAAACCTGACTGGGTGCCAGATGCCTTGGGGATACATGAAAAGTTGTCCCCTGGTGTCCTATCATATCAAGCTAGGCCTGAAGTTACCAGGAGATAATAGACATTAAAATGGCTCTGGAAATGCTGGGAGCTTTTCAAAAGGTGCCCCTGAAGCTGTTCATAGTTCTCTGACTCAAAAAAAAAGGCCACTGCTAGGGACGCAGATGGGTCTGGTCCAAACTAGGAGGGCTGGCAATCATGTTTTGGGTTGCTAGTTCACCAGGAGGGAAATAGCTCAAAAACATTAGAAATATCCTATTGCAGTGGTCCCACTGAAGAATATTTCTGGAAACTGGAGAAAAATATGCCTTGCAAACAGAGTGAGAAACATTCTATAAAGGATGGAAACAGGCCCTGCTGAGAGACAGCCCCTTCCTCACTACCCTGACACCTTCCCCCTACTCTGAAAAGGCAGTGGTGCAAACATCGAAAAATATTCTCAGAGCAGACAAAACAAAAGAGGAATGCTCATTTTGAGAGCCTGAGCACCCATGAATAGGGACAAAGCCTGGCTGCAGCAGTATGTCTCTCCCAGCCTACCCCCATTACATGGGTGAAAACACACAATCTCTTTATCAGAGCTTTGGGGTCTCTAAGAATAAAAAGAAAGAAAAATCAATAGCTTAAGCTTTCCCTCAGAATCACCTATTATGATCCCCTGAATTGAAGAACATTTAGTAAATAATTATTAAAAATAACCGCAACACCAAAAAATACAAGCTTGCAGTATTACCTTCTTTTAACCAATTTTGGAGTATCAACAGGGGGTTTTAAAGTCCACTTCAATACAGTTTCTAAGAGTTTAATGTGCACATCAAGAGGAAATAAATCCTAAAGGAACGCTGTTTACAGACTGTTCTATTTGAAGAGTTAAAACCTTAGGATGGACGGGATCTCAGTTATTAACCGTCATAATCTGTTGGCTCAGGCTGCCGTGAATTCACCAAGAAATCAGCCTGCAACACAACAGAAAAATCACAGAGAGCACTTCCAGACAACAACTCAAATTCTTGGATTTTGGTTTTAGCTCCAGACAAGTATGTTCATTTTAAATACTCTTCAGGGAATCCAAGAATGTCTGAATTGTAGAAAATTTAGAAAACACAGATTGCAGAAAGGAACTGCTTTTGTATTTACTTCTGTTATGAAGAGCCTGTGTCTGTAATCAGTCTGGAGGTTCTGTCAGAAGGGAGAGAGGGGCTGAGCCACTGCTTTGGAAACGCAAGGTAAGAGATGATCTTAATCGCTGTGAACTGCTTTGTGAGTGGGTGGGGATCCATACTGTGTTTAAGCAACGGCCTGACCCACAGGTCCCCACTCCTGTCCGAGGCAGCTGTAGGGAAAGCCGAGTGACTTCCCAGGAAGCAGCTTTGAGCAACCAAAGAGAAGGTGCCCTGAGATCGCTCTTACTCCTGGCTTCTTAATCCTGCCTCATCCCAGATGCAAGGCTCACAGGAAAGTACAGAGAACCTACCAGGAATGTGAAACCCAACTGCTACTCTATCAAGGGCCACGCCTGCATGAGATAAGAGATCTGCCTGATTAGAGCCAGTGTGTGTGTGTCTCTCCTGCCCAAACACTGAGAATGAGCATGCTCGGGGTGATAAGACTCATCAAACCCACTGGCCTGTGACCATTCTTCTTAGTACCCAAACAGCCTTTTCCAGCCAGGTAGAAAGAAGGATCCATCATTCTTGGAAAATGAGGCAAAAATCATCTTCCACAAAGACACCCTTGAAAAGTCTTAAGAGGGGCACCTGGGTGGCTCAGTCGGTTAAGCTTCTGCCTTCGACTCAGGTCATGATCCCAGGGTCCTGGGACTGAGCCCCGCATTAGGGCTCCCTGTTCAGGGGGAGTCTGCTTCTCCCTCTCCCTTGGCCCCTCCCCCCTGCTCGTGCTGTGTCTTTCGCTTTCTCTCTTTCTCAAATAAATAAAATCTTTAAACCATGATTCAACAACAAATCTACAAATGTGTGATTAAATAGAAGAACTTAAAATCGCCTCATTCTTCAGTTATGAGAATGAACAAGCAGCACATGCCAAAAGGAGTTAATAGTCTAATGTTTAGAGCACTTCCCTTACAAACACGCACGGGCAACCCCGGGACAACACAGCCATCAAAATGTAGTCCTTCAGCTTAAGAAAGAGCAGAGAATTAAAAACATGTCATTCAGTTAAAAGTGGCTGATTGGCCACGTGTGCTTAATGCCTCTCCCCAACCTGAGAATCCACGGAACTAACAGAGGAATAAAAAAGGTATAGACCCAAAGCAAAGAGAACAAAAGGGAGGCCATCAGAAGAGCCGTCTACAAAATTTCTGGAGGAATGGTAAGTGGTAGCATGGGGAAAACCACAGCATCGAAAGCCCACGTCTGGGGAGGGGGTCCCTCTGCGCTGGAACCCCAGAGGCTCAGAGTTCAAAAATGGGAGACCCAGGGAAGGCCAGAGCTGGGTCTGCCTGTCCCTATAAGAAGGCTCCAGCCCCTCCCTACCCACCCAGAGCTCGGAGCAGGCTCGCACTTGGTGCTGTGGTTTGCAGCACCGTTTTGAAAAACTTGGCAGATTGTCCATTACATTTCTCCTGAGACATCTAGTCATGTTTGAAATGTTCTCTATTTAAAGATTAGAATCAGGAATGTGAGAGTGTGAAGAGACCTCAGAGATCACCCAGCCCAACCCACTTATTTTGCCAGGTGAGGAAATGGAAGCTAAAATAGCCTGCCCACGGTTACCCAGTAGCAGGGTCTGGATTCATCGCCAGGCCTCCAGATTTTCCCATACTCCATGCTTCCCCTCAAAAAATCAGTGAGGGTGGGGGAGGTTCTCAGAGGTGACACTGCCCGCCCCCTCCCCCTCCCCCCCAGCCCACAGCAGAGCCAAGGCACCTTCCAAGCGGTGAATGCACGTGTGCTGATTGTCACTCAGGAAAAATCCCTCCTTGCAGCGGCACTCATAGCTCCCCATGACGTTGACACAGGTGTGCTGGCAGCCACCATTGTTCTCCAGGCACTCGTCCACATCTGGAGGGAGAGGAGGATTAGCCTTGGCTCTGGGGACTGTTTCAAATGCCCACCCCTCCCGGCAGCTCAGGGCCACCTGCTAAGCAGAGATGAGGTCCCTCTTCCTTCCCTGCATCACAGTAGCTCTCAGAACTGAAGTCAGCAGGGACCCCAGACCACAGAGCTCTGGGGCACCCTTAACCAGGCCTTCCACACAGACACAAGATAATCAATTCAGTAAATATTCATTGAACACCTTCTCTTTCCAGAGTATGGTGCTAGAAGAGGGGACAGTAAAACACAGATGAGTAGGATCAAATTCTTCTGCTCTAGGAGCCTGCCCCTTCAGCAGAGGGAAGGAGACAAACATCCGAGTAATTGTGGGATACAGTAAAAGGTGGTGCAAAAGATAAAGAGGCCACCTGGTTATAGGGTATCGGGATGGGTTTTATGGAAGATGGGCCCTACAGGATGTCTTCAGTTCTAAATCAGGAGAAGGGATTTTAGGCAAAAGAAAGGGCATGAGCATAGTGCAGATGCTGGGAAGCATGGAGGATGTTCAGATAAGGGCGGCCATTCAATTTGTCCGGAGCACAGGTCCATGCAGGGAAGTTACAGGAGATAAAGCTGGGAGGATACCAGGCAAAGAAGTTCGGTTTTGATTTGGGAGGCAGTTGGGAACCACTGTAGCAAGGGTGGCATGGTCAGACCCTTGAGTTGGGAAGAAGGTGGTAGCCAAGGAAGGGTAGGATACAAGAAGAATTGAAAGTCTGGGAGTCTAGCTTCACACGTGTACCTGAAATAGCCTCAGCTGGGGTTTGTGGGGGACCAGACCTGGGGCCTGGCCACGGGGATGCCTAGGAAGGAATAGAAAAAATAGAAGAAGACCGTGGGCAAGGTGCCTGCAGGATGGAAAACCATGTGGGCACTGGGTAGGGTGGCCGAGAAACATGAAGACCAGAGCCGGGTGGGGAAATGGGGGTGGAGATGAGGTTGGCCCCCACCACGGCAGGGAGGTGATGTGTGTGAGATGCTGACCTTCAGGCCTTGGTCCAGAAGGCAGTGGGAAACCTGAGTCTGGTGTTGTGACGGCACCTCGGAAAACCGAGGTGGATGTAGACGAGAAAGCCGAAGGCAGCAGTGGGAAGGAAGAGAACGGTTGCTGAGAGCACAGGGCCAGAGGCAGAATTCAGGAGAATACCAGGGGCAGGAGAAAGTAGAGGAGACAGCAGAAGCCGCAGAGAAGGAGCCATCAGAAAGACAGAGAGGGAGTGAGTCATCCGCCACCTGTCTTCCACCACCCCCCGGGGTGGGTTAAGGGACTTTCCTTCCACTGTGTCACATATTACTCTGTGCACGGCTCCATCAATACACTGACCATATCACATTCTCAAAATCTTTTTTTAATTTGCACCTTTTGACCCCTCAAAACCTTTCACTTATCCATCTCCACTGGATTACAGACTCCCTGAGGACAGAGATTTTTGTTTTATTTAGCACAGCCCTGGAACTGCAGATGCACATTGTTCAGTGCATGAACAAAAAAGCAGGAGAGCATAGCATCATCAGAGCCAAAGCAGAGGAAACTTCTAGAAAAGTCTCAGACATGACAAAGGCTTAAGGAGAAGGCTGATACAAAAGCAATTTATTTTGGGTGGGTGGCTCAGTCAGTTAAACGATCGACTCTTGATTTCAGCTCAGGTCATGATCTCCGAGTTGTGGGATCAAGCCCCGCGTCGGGCTCTATGCTCAGCACAGACTCTGCTTGTCCCTCTCCCTTTGCTCTTCCCACTGCTTGCTTGCACACGTGCGCTCTCTCTCTTTCAAATAAAGAAATAAATAATAAAAGCAATTTACTTCTCCAGCCTGATTTCCCATGTGCCTAACACTAGCTTCTAGGCACATCCATAACAAGAAAATTCACATTTAAATATCTGTTATCTGGTTTCAAGCTTCAGATCTTATAGTCATGCATCCTCCCACACTACCAGGCAGATGTCTTTCTAAACAGATGGGACTCGAGCCATCCCCTCAAGCCTAACAAACTTGCCCTTCTCTATGCCAAAGGGTAAAGGGAGCACATTCCAAAGTATGAGCCGCTGGAACACACCTGGCCAAGGTGTTCCATGATGAGGACTCATGGTGAGCAGGAGAGATCTGTTTCCCTGAACTCCAAATCCTGGATTGGTTTGAGTAAAGGTGTGCTCCCCTCTGAGCTGTCACCCACCCATCCTACCTTTAAGCTACTATTCCTTTCTCCAAAGCCACTAGAAATGTGCCATTGAGTTGGGTGATGTACTCTGACTGAATTAATACAAAAAGTGTGTGTGTTCACATGCACAAATAGGTTATCACTCACCTGGTGAGTTTCTCCAGACTGCAAAACAGTGGTTCTCAACCCTGGCTGCACGTTAGCACCCAGATGCTGGGACCCCACCTCCTGAGACGCTGACATAACTCATCTTGGATGAGACCTAGGCAATGGTGTTGTTTTAAACTTCTTTTTTTAAAGATTTTATTTATTTATTTGAGAGAGAGAGAATGAGAGAGAGCACATGAGAGAGGGGAGGGTCAGAGGGAGAAGCAGACTCCCTGCCGAGCAGGAAGCCCGATGCGGGACTCGATCCAGGGACTCCAGGATCATGACCTGAGCCGAAGGCAGTCGCCTAACCAACTGAGCCACCCAGGCGCCCTGTTTTAAACTTCTTGAATGATTCTAATGTGCAGCCGGATTTGAGAACCAATGCCACAACACTGAACAGCTAAGAAGCACTCCTAGACACTCAATAAATGGAAACTGAATTCAGGCAGGTGAGCGACACGGAAGAGAGCTGCGTTTCGTTTTTCAGGCTCTCGGGCATTCAGGATCTTGAAGCACTCTGGGTTTGGTGCCAGACTTAAGTGGTATTTGTACAGTGTATATTCTGGCTAATATATGTGTGGCTAGCACGTGGTGAGGGGCCGAGGAGAGGTCCGCGGTCAGCCCGGGGAACGCTGCACAGTGCTGCTCCTGAAAAGCTTTGCCTCTGAGCTTCCGTGTCACAAAATGCTTCAGCCCTTTCAAGTCTAAATGGCACAGAAATCTCTGTGTCTGCTCGTCCTGCTCTTCTTACCATACCACTTCATTTTCTCATGGCTTCCTTTAAAGAATCCTTAGCCCCTTCAGGTACACTCAGCGGATACTCAGGATATTTCTGCTAGGCAGATCCTTGTACCGAGGCCACCAAGAGACCCCAAGGAGGGGAAATGGAGATAGTCCACTGAAATCTGTGTTAGCAGCCAAGGCAAAGAAAGACTCCCGGCCTCAGGATTTCTGAGCCAGCCTTGACTCGGAACCACCCGACCCAAACCTGGCCCAGGTCCTTAAACCCTGTGGTGGTTTGGCCTGTTGCTCTTAGGAAGCTCACATGTTCCCCCAGGCACAACTTGGGGTTTGAGCACAACTGTGATGACTAGATCTGCCATTAGACATAAATTCCCCCAAATGCCACTTTTGGCAATCAAAAGGAAATGTGAGATTCACCCCCCAAAAATGGTAAAAACAAAATCCCCAAAACATACTGCATGCTTCCCCAAAAATTACACACTGAAAGTGACTTTTTTTTTTTTTTTTAGTTTTTTAATTAATCTCCATTGACTGCTGTTGTCAGGACTGGCTCTCTAGTGTCTTTTTGGGGTCCTGACTGCCCTAGACAGTCTGCAAAGGGGTTAGTGAGCCCTCAGCCCTCAATCAAATCTTCCTGACCGCTGCAGACTTGCAAGGCCAAGTGTTCTGATCCAAAGACTGACTCACACAGGGCACCAACAGGAAGGGCCAGAATCTATATCAGGATGGGGTTCCAGGGGACCCCGAAGTGGGATAAACGACATACAAGGGTTGATTCCCAGAAAGAAAGTCTCTCCTTCCCCACCACTCAAAAAACGAGTTCTGTCTGTACTTATCTAGTGACTTTTATGCTGCTCTCAAAGCATTTAATCAAGCAGCCATTCCCCCTGTACCATAATGAATCATCTCAATAGCCGTCCCCACCGTGTCAGGGCCTGGCTCAAGTTACTCCGTGGTCAGCCAAGAAGACGTCAGCAGGTTAGCCACACAAAGGGTCATCAGTGTCAAGGACCCTGATGCCATCTGCCTCCCAGGATGTCCTTCTGTACAACGAGAGCACCAGCCTTAAAATGTGAACAGACCACGAATACCTGTCTGCCAGGTGTGCAGCATCCTCTAAGACTATTCAACACTCAGCCCACTCAGCCCACTCAGCCCCATCCAATTGCTTGCTATTTCTGAATTCTGTTTTATTCCTGGCATAAGCAACCAACATAAACAACGCTCTTTGCAGTCCCTAACTCAGGGACTGAAACTCCAACAGATGTTCCTGTTTTGTGGAATAAAAGGAGGATGCTAATGGAAGGTTTCTATTTGAACTTCTCTGTCTCGCAAGCAAAAAGGGGGTGGGGTTACCTGACTGAGATCCAATCACACATTTGGAATTTTCAGAACAAGTAGTTTTACCAGTTCTAGGGTAGAGATACTTACAGCATTAAAGAAATGGTTATAAGTCTTTCAGTGCAAGACCAAAGACCTTAAAGGGGAGGAGTCAATGCTAGAAATGAGTAATAACAATGATGTCCATCTCCTTAGACTAATGGAGAATTTATATCATGAATGATCACATAAAAACTGAAACACTTCACCTGGTTTTCTGTCAGGGAGTGTGATTTCTAGGGGGGCAGAAAACACAAGTCTCTGATCCCCTTTTTGTTTTAATGAGTATGTTTTCATCAAAGGAAACAAAAGGGTGGGGCACCAGAGGGTAAGTAAAGGAGCCCCACCATTTCCAACCGTTTTCCTTACCAAGACAATTATGACCATCATGAGCCAACTTGAAGCCATCAAAACATGTGCAGCGATAATTGCCTGGAATATTCAAACAGTCATGGACACAGCCTCCGTTGAGTTCATTCTCACATTCATCAATGTCTGAGGAATAAAAGAGAAGTAAGCCAGACAGAGTCCATTTCTTTTTTGGGGGGGGCGCCATTTCTTTAGGATGGAGATATATGTATTTACCCTCTAACCAGCCATCCCACTTCTAGGAATCTACCCTGAAGATACATCTCCAACAACAGGAAAAATAATATGCACAAGGTTATTCACTGCAGTATTGTTTGTAATCACAAAATACTAGAAACAGCGGTGCCTGGGTGGCTCAGTCGTTAAGCGTCTGCCTTCGGCTCAGGTCATGATCCCAGGGTCCTGGGATCGAGCCCCACATCGGGCTCCCTGCTTGGCGGGAAGCCTGCTTCTCCCTCTCCTACTCCCCCTGCTTGTGTTCCTGCTCTCGCTGTCTCTCTCTCTGTCAAATAAATAAATAAAATCTTAAAAAACAAAAAACAAAATACTAGAAACAACCTAACTGGCCCACACATTGGAAAGTAGCTGAAGAACTATGGTACATTTATTCGATGAAGTATTGTGCAGCTGTTGAAAAAAAAAATGAGAAAGATCTCTATGAACTGATTTGGGGTGATTTCTAGGATATACTACTAAGTTAAAAAAAATCAAAATGCAAAAGAGGATCTGTCGTTTATTATCATATAAAAAAAATCAAGGAATATGAAAAATACATACATTCCAGTGTGCTTTTTGGCAGAACTTGACAAGCTTAACCTAGAATGTATACAGAAATGCAAAAGACTCAGAAGAACCAAAACAATATTGAAAAAGTAGAACTTTCCCTCGATTTGGAGGACTTTCACTTACAAAAAGCTACAGTTATCAAAATAGTGTGGTACAGGCATAAAGAAAAACATACAGATCAATGGAACAGGATTGAGAGTCTAGAAATAAACATTATATTTATGGTCACTGGATTTAGACAAGAGTGCTAAGGCAATTTATTGGGAGAAATGATAGTCATTTCAACAAATGGTGCTGAGACAACTGTCCATATGCAAAAAGATGAATTTAGACCCTTAAACTCACACCTACACAAAAATCAACGAAAATGGATCAGGGTCCTAAATGTAAGAACTAAAACCATAAAACTTTTAAGAGAAAACATAAAGCTTTTATGAGAAAAATCCAAGACCTTGGATTATACAACACCAAACACACAATTCATAAGTTTTAAAATTAATAAATTGGTCTTTATAAAAATTTACAACTTTTAAACTTTTAAGGGACACCTGGGTGGCTCAGTCGGTTAAGCGTCTGCCTTTGGCTCAGGTCA